CGTTTTATTTCCTTTTAGGCTTGTTCGATTTTTTATCAACTAAGCAAGTACTTTTTTTATGTTTACATATTTTTCACATAAGTAATGATAAAAAATAAATTACTTATACTTATTGCTAAAAGTACATCTAAAAATTGTTTGTGGCTCAACAAGTTTGTGTCGAAACTTTACAAGTTGCTAAATTAAATTTACATAAATAACGACAAATCAATTTTGTTCTTATTTTATAGTTTTTAAGTAAGACCGTAAAGTTTTTTTTCTGTAATTTACATAATATTAAGTAAACATGTTTTTAAAACGGCCAGTCATCATAAATTCTCGAATTTTCGAATTTTAAAAATTGAACGTCTGATTTAAAAAATCAAACAAAAAATGGGACCCACCTACAAGCATTACCTTTCGGATAAAAAAAGAATTGTCAAAATCGGTCCACTAGCGGTGGAGTTATGCCGTAACACACATAAAAAAAACATACAGACGAATTGAGTACCTCCTTCTTTTAGGAAGTCGGTCAAAAAACAACATACTGACGAATTAAAAAGCCTGTAATATTTTTAACATAGTTTCAAGTTAAAACTTTCAACCTAACTTATGGCGCCCCTTCATACGTCTAAGGCCCACTAGCTATTCGTCCCAACTCGCCTTATCCTAACATCGGCACTGCCTAGTTTATACCCTATATCTATACCAATATTATAAAGAGGAAAGATTTGTATTTTTGTATGTATAAAAATAACTCAAAAACTACTGAACCGATTTCAAAAATTCTTTCACTATTAAAAAGCTACGTCAGTGAGTAACATAGGCTATGTTTTTAATTATTTTTTTAAAATTCAAGTTAGAAGTCGCGAGCAACAGCTTAAAGGTAATAAATAGATTACAATGTTACGAATATAGTAGAGCCTGCTTTAACATCTTTGCACAAATGGGCCGGCGTAATACAACGACCACACAGAAAACAGGCGTGAAGTGGTAAAAATTCCGCGTTTCGTCTGATGAACGTGGTGCTGGAGGCCTAATTTTAGTCCCTTTCCCTTTTCACCCTTTTCTTAAGAGGAAAGCATGGGAAGGAAAAGTGGATTTGACGGTGGAGGAGACGCATAGGTAGGGGAAATGTCCTCTTTATGTGCGTTTCTTCCTCCGTCAATGAAGGGTAGGCAGCGCTGCAATTGCGGATGTTTATGGGCAGCGGTCGCTTTCCATTTCGGTGGATTCGGGTGGCCGCTTACTCGTTTGCCACCTTATATTATAAAAAAAAGTCAGTAGGTACTAACTATAGTTAAATACATAGATAATTTTATGTACTTAATGGATTTCCACTAGTTATTCCGGTCCTTTACTAGTAACTAATTAACCGGCCGTCCTTACATATCTAGAGCAAACATCTCGTCGACTCATGTATGGAGATTTACTTGAATTAACCCAATTAACTTTAACAAATTAATACATTTGTTTGTAATTTACGATACATGACGATTGCAATATACATTAATATTTTAAACGGTTTCCGACGGAGTAAGTAAGACATGTCGGTGATGAAAACGCCAAACATAGCTTAAATTATGAACCATTTTAAATAATTTTATTCCATATTGAATTTATGATATTTAAAACTAATAAAATGTTTACTTTAATATCTAGATGATAAATCTAAATTATTACTAATATTATAAATGCGAAAGTTTAGATGGTAGATGTTTCTTAGAGTTTGTAATCTAAACGGATCTCGATGAAATTTGGCATATCATTTTGAATATCACGCAGACGAATACGCGGGGTACTGCTAGTCAAGTTACGAAAGCACTTCATGCGTTAAATTTATTTTTATTTCGTCGTATTAAATCTAGGCTAATTAAGGTGTGGTATACACTTTTAATTTCTGTCGCAACCAAGTCGACGGTAAAAAGGTAAGTCGAAATAGTATTTCAATTTAAGAATTACACACTAGAGGTCGCTTGACAGCAATAAACTTAAAGTTGGCTTACATTAAGTGAATATGTTTCGCTAAGTTGTTTGATGTTTACACAAGCTATATATAATAAGCTAATAAATAAATTAATTGCTGTAATTGATGTGATTGAATTGGTTATCGTTTTACCTGTTTGCTTTTTTATTATACTTTTTATTGTTTTATACATTTTGAGGTTATTAACCATAGATAAGTGAAGGTCACTCAGGTATGTTTATGGTTTGAATCCCTTCATACTAAAGTAGTTGGGATTTTTTTTGTAAGGTTGGTAAAACGTTTCGGACATTTAAATTAATGATGGCTATCTGTTGCTGTCAGATAAATACCTAACTGTAAGATTCCGCAGTTTATTAACCGGAAAAACTTACATAACCTAAAACTCCCATAAATCAGAAACATCTTTACGTCACACGAAGCCCATGATAACGTAAAATTAAGCAATAATAACAGTTGGATAAATCTCTATAAAACTACTATTAGTTACGAAACGGATTTCTGTGTCGGTCGGACATTTTTTTCTTAGGTTGGCACGCGTGACGCAAGCGAGAGGCATGCGTCCATTCAGGTTACACTTGAATAGGGCTGGCAAATTCAAAAGGAAATTATTCCGAAGACTGATCCAAAAACAAACGACGATCGCATTACCTTCGAAAGCCAAATAATCTATAATGACTTTACATCTACTGACCCTAACAGTAGTGATGATTCAACATGATAATAAAGATAGAATTAAATATCAATAGGCTTTTTTTTAATAAAAACTAAGCAAAGAATATCACTTCCAAGCAATGACCTATCTATTTAACAGAGACCAGTGACCCAGATTAACGGACGCCCAAAAATCTCGATTCATTTGTTTTACATCACTTTGCTAAAAATATGTTTATGTCAAATCCCTAATTTGTATACTATGGAAACTGGAATAATTGTGGTCTTTCTGACAAGTGGCAACCCTAGTGTAGCAACTAGTACGTTATGCATTGTTTATATTTGTGAAACTTGTACGCTGTGAGTACTAAGAAACAAGTGATATTTATACAAGTTTTTCAAGCTACTCTTAGGTTACAAAGAAAGATGGAAGCGTAATCTCTGATGAAAAACAAAAGAACATAGTTGAAAACGTCAGAAAAAGATCCCATTAGGTTGTTAGATATCAAATCATAAATGCCTAGCTGTTGCTCGTGACTTCGTCCGCGTGAAATAAAAATAACCTATGTTACTCACTGATAAATTACCTTTCTAACAGTGAAAGAATTTTTAAAATCGGCCCATTAGTGGAGTTATTTCAATACATACAAAAATACAAAATTACCTCTTTATAATATTACTAGCTTTCGCCCGCGACTCCGTCCGCGTGGATAAAAAAAACCCAAAGTCTATGTGTTCTTCCAGACTATCCTCTACATCTACACCAAATTTCATCGAATTAGTTTAGCAGTTTAGGCTACAAACTCTAACAAATATCCATCCATCTAAACTTTCGCATTTATAATATTAGTATGATTAGTATGACAGTAATAGTATACATGTACAGTTTCAAATAAGAATCGTCTTTTATTAATTAAAAGTAAATCGAAACCGATTTCTCAATTTTGTTATTCTACATTCAGATTCAGATACAAACAGAATTTCCTTGCAGTCAAATCAACTACAAGTTTTTATGTTAACCAAGTTAACATATTTGTCGTTGAGAGTATTTCCGTGAACAACTCGTTAACCACTAGTTATTTAAACCTCCGTAACTACGGTTACGTAAAACTTTCCGTTAACTATCCGAGACGTGGATAAAATTGTTAAACACGGAGGGATCTTCGGAATTTTGCAATTTTTATTGTATAATCGTTTTATTGCATAATGAAAACCATAAATCACGTAAAACGCAGACTAAATTCTAACCTCACTTTTAGACAGCATTACAATGTTATAGAGCGGACGTTCCACACATTTCCCTATAAACATATTTTCAATTTTTTCTCTGCAATCTTATTCCACAGTTAAAACGAAAGCGGTGAAGGGAATTTTCTAAATTTTGTCTGCACATCTTCAGTCAATTGTGCAGTTCGACTGAACAATGAAATCTTTAACTTACTAAAGTTATTGTCGTAGTGACAATCAGTACCAGCTGTTGGGTAGGGCGCGATGGGTCGATGGAAAATAAAAGGGGAATAAAGAAATATCGCTCAGAGCCCTAGTAGAGCTTAAACTAGAGTGGTTGAATAGAGGTACGAGTGTTTTACATTTTGATTTGTATTGTCCTGTCTATATCTTGAATATCTTTAATTTTTATTTGACACTAGCTTTCGCCCGCAACTTCAGTCGTGGAATTAAAGAGGAGCCTTTGTGTTCTTCCAAACTACCTTTCCTATGCCATATTTATTTGAGATCCGTTCAGCAATTTACAAACTCAAACAAACATCAATTCATATAAAGTTTCGCATTTATAATTTTAATAAAATGGTAATATTTTAAAGTTAATAATGACATTCTTTATAGTTACCTTGGTGTGTAACCTTGATTATAACATTATTAATTTTAGCTAGCCATTGCTCGCGTCTTCGCTTGTGTGAAATAGAAAAAATACCGCCTATTACACACTGGTAACGTAGCTTTTTAATGTAAGATTTTTTGAAATCGGCCTAGAAGTTTGATTTATTTCAATAAATACAAAAATACAAATCCTCTTTATAATATTAGTATAGATTAACTCAAAACACGACCTTCCGTGTGGTATCTATTGTATGTTAAAAAATATTACATTTCAAACAATAAAGATTCCCGTTAAAACAAAGATGTTATTAAAACTCTGGTTCAGTTCAGACAGCCGCTGCACCGAGTGTTGCCAGTAGAGCTATGCTAATATTATTGTATTCATTGCAAAGAATTTCTTAACAAATGACAAGTCTTTTGTTTCATATATCTTGATCATTGAAGAATAACGTTTATAACCGTGGATTTCTTATAAGGAGAGGTTGGGAAGTGGAAGTGGATTTGACGGTGCAGGAGATGCATAGTGTTATGTATGCGTGTGTACCTTGCCTAAAGAGGAACGGTCGGCTGCGCCCGACGACTGCGTCTATGTGACGTGAATAAACCAGTCTGCACCAAGCAAGCGCTGTTTTAATTACTCATCCACATATCCATCACATAGGAAGGGGAAATATCCTCTTTATGTGCGTCTCCTCCTCCGTCGTATAACGGTAGGCAACGCATCTGCAATTGCGGATGTCTATGGGCAGCGGTCGCTTCGCCATTTTGGCGGATTCTAGTGGCCGCTTGCTCGTTTGCCACCTTATATTATAAAAAATAATAATAATTTCCTGATGAATACTTCTTACTAATAATAAAAACTAACTAACACTCACAACTCTATACTAATGGAATAAAAAAAAGTAGCCTATGTGTTCTTTCGGACTATCCTGTACATTTATGCTATAACAGTGGTAGAGCCCGCTTTTACATCTTCGAACGAATGAGTCGGCTCCCCCGGTGTAATACCACGACCACACAGAAAGGCGTGACGTGAAGCAATTCCGCGTTTCGTTTGATGAGTGTGGTGCCGGAGACCTAATTTTAGTACCTTTCCCTTTTCACCCTTTTCTTAAGAGGAAGGGATAGGAAGGAATAGTGGAATTGACGGTGGATAAGACACATAGGAAGTGGATATGTCCTCTTTATGTGCGTCTCCTCCTCCGTCAATCAAGGGTCGGCAACGCATCTGCAATTGCGGATGTTTATGGGCAGCGGGCAGCGGTTGCTTTCCATTTCGGTGGATTCAGGTGGCCGCTTGCTCGTTTGCCACCTTATATTATAAAAAAAATAATCATCGCGTCCGTTCAGTTTAGGCTACAAACTCTAACCATCCATCTACTTTCGCATTTATAATGTTATTAAGATTCGAAAGTATGAATGGATTATCTCCGAAACGAGTTAAATAATTTTGAAAAATCTTGCCACAGATGTAGAACATAATCGGGAAGAACTAGGCTTACTTACTAAGTCTTTTTATTGCGCGAACTAAGTTACAAGCAAAGCTAGCTTAGCTATTATAATGCAAATGGTATTTGATTATCTGTTACAATAACAGTTTCGTCAACGAAACACTTTCTCTCGTCACAGTACTGGCGGCGATAACAACGCTATTTGATTATTGTATACTGCTTCCACAATAAACTTTCTTCATAAATGTTGGTAAGTAATAACGAGCACGGCAACTGGTATTCTATAAAGGGAAGTAACAGCTGCCCTTAGGGCCGTACACTGAAACATTTAAATATGGAACAGCGTTCTAAATGATAAAGCCACGCTTAAACTCTAAATTCCTTAGCTTAGCTAAGGGCCTATCCCACCACACTGACTGATAGAGGCTCAGATAGCTTAAAAATGACGTCACCGTCAGATATGGTAACAAAATCTGATAAATAAATAAAATAACTGATCTAACAAAATATTTTATACGTTGTATTGTTAACTGACAATTTACAATTTGGGGCAGGTCCTTAGTAATCAAGATGCGTTTTAGTTTAGGCCGTTAGAAGATACATCCGAAATTCGTTGATGAAGGAGGGTGGCGCACAGAGGATGTCAACCTATGCTTTCCCTCTCCTGTCTTATCTTTTCCTCCTTTCCTTGTACGAAAAGGGGCATTATCACAATTTTCATCCAATGATGATGAATCTTACTAATATAATGGATGGATGGATGTTTGTTAGAGTTTGTAGCCTATACTACTGAACGGATCTCGATGAAATTTGGGATAGATGTAGAGCATATTCTGGAAGGACACAAGCTACTTGCTTTTTTTTAATTCTACGCGGACGGAGTCGCGAGCGACAGCTAGTTAGAAATGTTTTAAATTCGACTGTTCGGATGAATTACCGTAGAACGTATCAAGAAAATTTGAACTCTATTCCTTTATATATTACAGTCTGGAATAGTGCATACTAAATTCAATTTTAATTCCGTATGAAGAAAGTCGCAGTTTAAGTACAATAAAGGTTATGTTGTTATCAAGGTAAACGAGTGATGTATTGGTAGAACGTGCTATGCTTTACGGCATCGCCACCAGAGGTCGGCAGGTATGTGAAACCTGCGATCCTTCACGACTTCGTACGTGTGTAATGCCACTAAGGTGACCATCATATGGTATATAAAAGATTAGGACAAGTAGATACCCATTGTCAATCAATTTGGAAATGAACGTCGATTATAGAAGAGAACAAAAAAAATCAATTAGATAAGCAAATGTATCCGAAAATATCCGACTACATTACTAGCTGATTTGATAAGACCTGTGTTTTAAATAGATGAGTAGATATTTATTACCACACAACTCTAGAAGGGATAAATAATATTGTATGAAATTTTGAACAGAGATAGATTAAAATATAGAATGACGCATGGGCTATGATATATTTCTATACGTACGGAATCGCTGACAGTAATATAAGTTATGTAAGAATAGGGGACTGTCCGTCGGAATGTAAGATTTCTGGTGACTTTAGTGATGTCCATTGTGATGCGTACTATGTCGGCTGGACGACGAACCTTTCTCTAGGCTTCTGCTTTTACTTTTATAATGAACATTGCTAATAGATTGTGGAGACAATACTTTGAACTCGGTTTTAAAATTGTTAGTGGGTTTTACTTCATTTTAAACCGATTAATAATATGTTTTAAGGTATATTGCTATGAAAATAATATAGCTACCTAGACTAACCTAAATTGAATTGAAGGTTTTAATTACCTAGAGGAAAGTCAGATATCAAGGCGACTATGATTCCTTTATCTAAATTGTTCAAATTAAATCATCAAAATAAAAGTGTAATAATTTTTGACCGACTTCCCAAAAGAGGGAGGTACTTAATTCGTCTGTATGTTTTTTTTTTATTTATGTTGTTACGGCATAATACTTAGTAATATTATAAATGCGAATGTTTAGATGGAATGATGGATGTTTGTTACTATGTATCTCTAGAAGTGCCCAACAGATCTGGAAGTTACACATGTAGACCGTAATCTAGAAATACAGATAGACTAAGTTTTATTCTGCGCAGACGGTTACGAGGGCGATAGTTAGTATTGTACATACATACATCTTACATATTTATGTGCATATATATTTAACCAGAAACTTATCTGAATATTCATTTAGAGTCTTTGGTGGAACAAGATAATTTACCTAGTTTTTAGTACGTGATATATCTAAACCTATAAGCAAAATTACTTGTATTACAGCATCACGTAGTGTCACAAAGGAATGCAGCTAACATATTACAAAACTATGTGTGTGAGTGTACACGAGTACAAGATTTGTTACATGGTTTTAACCAGTCGCTTATAGTCTAAGCTAGATCTAGGAAGGAGCTTTCCCATCCCTCTAGCCGCTACTTAAGACACCCATCGGTTTGTTAACTAGCTTTTACCGCGACTTCGTCCGGCAGGTATTTAAAAAAGACGTAAAATAAACAATATAAGCGTTAATTATTAGTTTTCTGTATTGCGCAGATAAAATTCATTCAATTCATTTCATGACTCCACCCCCCCGAGCTGGTACCAGGACTTAGGTGGACCACTGATTGAACGTAATATTATTATTTTATATTTTGTCACCACACAGATTTTATGTAACTACATACCCTCAATATTTAATTTATTTAATATAATAATTTTGTATGATTGGAACAGTTTGGGAACGCATCGAAAATTTGTACCTATATGACCCCTCCCTGGTGCCAAAGCTGAATCCGCCCTTAAAGCTACCACTTATACTATCATTTATCTTCTCATCCGTTAAGGGTAGTCTTTCGCTTTTCCTTCTTAGTGTTCAGCCACTGCCATTATTATAACAAATTAATAATATTATCATTAACTATAATAGTTATTAATACATTGCTAGAACAGAAGACAGTGTTGATAAACATCAAGTGCGTGGGAACAGTCGCTGCTCTCAAAACATGTAACAATATACTGCTAACGCCATCTATCTGTACCTACCATACAGTTTAATACGCACTCCCTTGACTAAACTATGGCACAACTGTTTAGTTTCGCTTTGATTCCTATGAGCTTATATGGAGGTGCGCACACTCGATGTTTAGTTGTGCAACTAAACAGTTGAGCTGCGAAACAATCGAAAATCGCACAAGTTCTGCTATAGATTAGTCAAAGGTGTGCCCACTCTAGGCAAAGTACTTTACTCTGTCCTTCCAGACTCCTCTACGTACCAAATTTCATCGAGATCCGTTTAGTTTAGGCTACTAACTAACATCCATCCATACATTTAAACTTTTACATTTACAATATTAGTAACTAGCTGTTCCCCTGCGACTTCATCCGCATAAAATTATAAAAAAATCATTTTATTGTTCGCATTTGTCAAATAATCAATTGCAAATGTCAAAATGACATGACATAATGTCAAAGCATAGCAACCTTGCTTCTTTGATGTTGGCAACAACTTATAGTCTTTTCATTAAAAAAATATTTTTTTCAAAAATACGTTGTAATTGCTGATATCTTACGCAACAAAGAAGTGTGTATTTACACTTTATTATAATAAGACTAGCTGTTCCTGTGCGACTTCATCCGCATGGAATTACGAAAATTTTATTTCATTGTTTACATTTTTCAAATTATCAATTACAAATGTCAAAATGACATGGCATGACGACAACCTTGCTTCCTTGATGTTGGCAGCAACTTATAGTCTCTTTCCCAAATTAAGGATATTATCCAAAATATTAACCCCCTATGTTTAATGGCGTTAAAAATAGCCTAAAGCATGACGTAAATGTAGTGCTTTTTATTAAAAAAGAATTATTCAAAAATATGCTGTAATTGCTGACATCTTAGGCAACAAAGAAGTGTGTGTTTACGCTTTATTATAATAGTATAGATAGATACTACCATAAATAAAACATATAGAAGAATCTTTTAACACATAAACTATAAAATGATAATATTATGTCGTAGATTCCTTGCGGACCGGTTTGACGACATAACTGTTAATCTATGGTCTATTCATAGAGTTCGTTCACATGGACAAACAATTTTTTATTTATATAGCTATGCTAACGTCTCCTAGTAATATTTAACCTTCGCAAATTTTAAACAATCGCCAACATCCGCTTTTGTAATAAAGAGTGAGAGGTTAAGAAAATTACAACCAATAAAACAACTATGGGGTCTCCGTCAATCTTACTAATATTATAAATGCGAAAGTTTTGATGGATGTTTGTTAGAGTTTGTAGCCTAAACGGTTAAAATATCTCGATTAACTTTGGCATAGATGTAGAGGATAGTCTGAAAGAACATATAGGATACTTTTTTTTCTAATTCCACGAAAACGGAGTTGCGAGCAAAAACTAGTGGTTATATAAATTCTTTGACGTATAAACTTAACTGACTTATGATCAGTTTCCCTGGCGTGTGTTTTTGGTTCTATAACTTCATGAAATGCGTCTCTGAACTACATAACTGGAGTTTGAATCAGTTGAAACATATCGACCTGACACTAAAATCGCTACGTAATGACAAAATAAGTGGAAACTTCAGAAACATTACTATTATATATGTAAATTGTTGATTATCGATTACAGAACATTTTCAGTTAACACAAAGCTTTATAAATTTAATACAAATAAAATATATTAACAAAATTTTAAGTAATAGACATACGCTAAATGTACATAATCACTGCTAACCCCCTTTGTTACGGACGTAAGTATAGTAATAAATTAATATTAGACTCAAAACACGTCCTACAAGCTAGAGAGAAAGATGAATTCATATAGAAAATTAACATAAATATGTTACATAAGGCGAAAGTCGCAGAAAGGAAAAAAAATCACCGTGTACGAAAGTTATAAAGAATTTATCGTGCGGAAAAGAATTCTTATGGTTTACGTACTCACACAGTAGAAAAATATAGCTATCTCCCTTGTTCTTTCTGAAAAAGTTCAGACAGCAATATGTTGTGTATAGAATTTTTGTAGTGGAAACGTAATTGTTACGGCCTAAAAAGTTTGAGTTATTTATTATGTAACTGGCCACTACGTAGCTTGTAAACTAATGAACAAATATTAAAAGAAAAAATTAACAATAGCGCTAACGACTAATGGAAGTGCACCCTTATACTCGGGTCAAATAATTTTAACGGTCAATAGTGCTATTCGTTAATTTTTAATCTGCGTAATTATATTTTAATATTGCTCGCGACTTCGCCCGCGTGAAATTAAAAACTCACAGATAACGTAGCTTTTCAATTGGGAGGGAATTTTTAAAAACGACCCAGTAGTTTTTGAGTTATTTTAAATACAAAAATACAAACTTTTTCCACGGCTTGAACTTTAATAAAATAGCCTATGTTACTTCCAGATAAATTACCATTCCTATTGTGAATTTTTTTTTAAAAGCGGCCCAGTATTTTTTAAGTTATTTCACAAGGAAAATACAAATCTTTCCTCTTTATACTATAGTAAAGATAACGTTCGGTGACAGAATTTAAAAATATGATATTCTTGAAGTACGTATGAGTTTCCTCTTACTTGATTGCTATCTGTTTTCTCAACAAGATAAAGTAATATGTCCACAGGTGTTTCGGCAATGGGAACGCAGAACAGGTTGTCGTTTGGGCGACATTCTCACAACGACCTTACCGCGGAATTGAAAGTAACCACAAGATTTAATTATACTTGCACTGGCTAACTGCTTGCCCTCAGGCATACGAGACTGGCTTTCATTTTATTTTATTTATCTACATCTTATTAAATATAAATAAACAGTTTTCAGAACTTAACACTATTCATCAAAACATATAACAATCTTACTTCTTACTAATAATAATGTTCTGCGACGAGACGAGGACATAAACCAGAAAGTATTGATTGAATGTGGATGGCTACAAAGGTAGAGGAAGACAGAAGAAAGTATGGATGGATTGTGTGAAAGAGGATATGCTTAAGAAAGGAGTGGATTCGGATATGAGGGCTGATAGAGATGTACGGAAGAGCAGCACATACTGTGCCGACCCTCCGTAAGGGATAAGGGCAAGTGGATGATTACTTCTTACTAATAATATAAATGCGAAAGTTTAGATTGTTAGACTCTAACAGAGTCTAATCTTGAAAAACTGCAAAGCGTCAACAATATATTAAAAAACTTCAACCAGTGTTAACAAAAGGTAGGCAGGTTTTCAATTTCATCCGCCTTCTCATCAATGATTAAATTGACTCTAAACTTTTCAGCCGTTTAGGCTGTAAACTCTTATTAGACGAATCGGGATAACATTTGGCTTAGATGTAAAATATTATATTCTAGAAGAACCCATAAACTGCTTGCTTTTGTTTTTTTTACACCGACGGTGTCCGGGTAGATATCTAGTCGTTATAAAACTAGTAAAGACCAAAACTTCCACTGTCTCTACCCCTATCCAGGGATAATAAATCGAATGGTGACCTCTTTATAACGATCTACTAAGATTTTCGTTGCACGCAATATGCATGTAAAATAATTGAGTAATTAAAAAACATTAATATGACAACTTCACGCTACCGTTGTTGTCAGTTTTCACGCAACTTTCCAATAAACGTTTTTAAAAAAAATATAATTAATCGTTGATCAATATTACGCATAATCTTACTAACGTTATAAATGTGAAATTTTATATGGATGTTTGTTAGAGTTTGTAGCCTAAACTGCTGATCGGGTCTCGAAGAAATTTGGCATGGATGTAGAGGATAGTCTAAAAGAACATATAAGCTACTTGCTTTTGTTTTATTTAATTCCGCGCGGACGGATTCGAGGGCGAAAACTAGTTTATAATTCGCTTTTAATTAACGACCACAAAAGCATATATCAACCCTTGTTTATTGCGGAATTAAAGTAATTTTTTTATACACATTAAAAGGTGATATAAGCGATTCTAACACACTTAGCCTACGATTTTTTATTCTTAAGCTATAAATTGCACTTTCAACTACCCAATAAAGGTTTTTCACAAGTCATATTCTTTTTATAGCCTAAGACCTCCGATGTCGTGTCAAATTTGATTTTTGAGCCAAAAGTGTCATCTCGCTCATTCTCTTTGACAAAATAGAGATAGATATATGTTTGTACGTTTATTTCGATAGTTATTTATAACCTTAATCTCATTCGAATAATTTAATATGAAATAATAGAACCTTTTAAATGTCAAGGTTTTTAGGAAAATATTAAAATCAGATCGGCAGTAAGACCGTATATGGTAGTTTTTATTACTTACTAGCTGTTACCCGCGACTTCGTCCGCGTGGTAATAGAAAACATACGAACTATACGAGTACAAATATTATAACAAAAAGCTACGTATCCCTCGGGAACCGGATATTTCTCGGGGATGATTCTTATCCTATGTGTACTTCAGACTTTGTTTTTCATCTGTGCCAAATCTTAATAAGATATGCTAAACCATTGTAGAATGATCGAGTAAACATTAAAAAACTAAACTAATGAATCCTACGGGAACCGTAACTATTCCCAGAATAAAAAGTAGCCTATGTGTTCTTCCAGACTATGCTCTAAACCTGTGCCAAATTTAATGGAGATCCGTTTAACCGTTTAGGCTACAAACGATAACAAACATCCATCCATCTATCGTAACTTTCGCATTTATAATATGACATGAATGATGTTATAATTTATTTTCATACTAGATATAGCACGTGACTCTGTCTGCGCTGAATTAAAACGTATTTAGTAGTCTATTTATTTTGCATCTGAACCAAATTTCAAGACCCATGCAGCCGTTCTGAAGTTACCATTACCGTTTTAACATCCATCCAAACAGCAATAACTTAAATACTCTATCGACCTTGAATAACATGTAATTACTAAACGGCCGTGTGCGATAGTATATTCAATTTATAAATAAAATCAGCGATATTTATATAATCCTAACATAGTTGTTAAGGTTTTTAATTATTATTCACTTATGTCTATTTTAATTGCTTTTCAAGTTATGCTTGAAATTGTATTCCGAAAATGACAGGATTGAACACACGAGCTCGCGTTCTAGTCAGTACAACTTTGAGCTATTGGTGCTTTATTCAAATTTAATTGTCAGTTAACTATGCGTTTTAGACATTGGTTTTTTCGATTGTTTTTATATGTATTTACATTTGTATAGATATAAAGATAAATATAGACAGTAATATAAATTAAAAACATATAAACATCCTAGATTAAAAATATATTTAGAACTCACCAATCGTACAGGAGTCCAATAAGAATTCAAACTAAAATGCCACTGTCGAAATTCTTTACACACAAATATCAATTATTTCTAATTGAATATTATTACTCTCTATATGAAATTATATACAAAAATATATATTGTAAAGTTTCGTTTTATATTCACTTTAAGTTCACGTAAAAGTATAAATTCACAAAAAACTTCAAACCACTGCGCAAGCGCACAACCAAACCCGTCTTCGACGAATAAACGACTGTCACTCAAGAAAATATTCCGACCAATCAGCGCCTTCCATTCTCTTATGAGAATTATTACCCAAACAAATTAAAATGCACGCACGATTTCATTTAAATAAAACGCGCGCGTTGCATTCTTATTTAAACGTGTTATATTAATATTTATTTATTTTAATCTATAATCAAATCTATTGTTTTACCTTAAAGGTTAAATTCGATTGAATTGGAATAAGGAATTGCGAAAGAAAATAAAGTTTACACTTCACAATGAGACGTGGTTTTGTTTAGCAATTTGTATAACTAACAATGTTAATCAAAACATAACCTTATTACAATAGCATAAAGACTAAAGTCGCTTGAAAGGGATAAAAACCTGTCTTGTCTAAAGAAATGTGACCTCGACAGGTATGTGAGTACATTTCGAGAATTTATGAAAAATGATTCCATTTATGACATCACTATAATAAATAATAAGCACGTGGGAAGCTTTGCAGCTTACGAACACGGATGGAGTAACAGCGACTGACGACGTGAAGGGACATTTGTAATTTACGAACTATACAGGATGTGCGTAAAGAAATGTCAACGTAGTTTAAATTAAACATTTATTTTGAAATAGAGAAACGTGAAAAAATTAACTAGAAACTTTAGACAGTAAGTTATTAAAAAAAAGATGTTATTTCTGCCAAGGAACAAGCGAACATTTTTTGTGTCGTTTCCTAACACACTGTATACGTTGAAAGGAATTTGATGACAAAGATTAAAAATATTGAACGACCTTTTTGTAGAGTAGGTCAGTTTAAAATACTTAAAAAAAGATTATTAACCTTCGATATATCGAAAGGTTTCAAAAATATAAACATAAAATAAAATATCATTTAAAAAATTCAATAGAGGTAAATTTTAATTATATATTATTTTCATTAAGGTTATTAGAGATGAGTTAACAAAACAAAATATATTTCTCAAGTATCTTTATTCTCATACAAATCGTTTTAATACATATATCAATTTTCAAGCCTCTGCCAAAAGTTTTTGTATTTCTGCTTACACTATCTGATACATCACACAAAACTTAAGTAAATAAATTAAGTAACTAATGTATTTTTAATATATAAAAATATGATATACTGCTTACCCCAATTCTATAAATACTATATTTTATACTAGTGACTTCGGGAATTTTTTTTTATCTTTTTCGCATTATCTCTTTAAATTTAACTTATTTGGTTTGTAATAAAACCCTTATTAGAGGTTTTACTAATAAATCCAATTATTAAATAATTTTAACTTACTTGCATTCAGATCAAAACTAAAAAATAATATCACATTAAAAATTAAAACTAAAAAAAAACACCAATGAGATTTCTTACAGATTACATAAATACAAATTAAATATATTCCTTTGCATAAAACAATTGTCTTTTTTAATAATACTTTTGTACTTTTCTAATTAAAATTAAACAAATAAGATAATAAATTACAGGCAAAATTTAACTTAGAAATACATAAGAATTAGGGGAGGCTGAAAACCAGCGCGGCCTTCAGTGACAAGCTGGAGGCCGCATCAGCTGAGCCTTTTCCTTTTGACCAAGAGTTTGTACCTTTATTTTTATTTCATTAATAATTGTAAGTTGTGTTCTTTTAATTTTCTTTTGGTCAATAAATAGTGTTTTAAGAAATAAATTAAATTAGAATATACTACTTAGTGGTTTCTAATCTAGTAATACAATTTTAAAGCCAATCGGTCACAACTATAGAGCTCTTCTAAAGTGAATCTTTATATCGCTATCTCTTTCACTCTATATGATAGAAAGAGACGGCATATCATACAATGTGCAGTTGCATTACTAAAGTCAATTTGATATATGCAATACACCAATTATCTTAATGAGACAAGCACATAAACCGTTTGCCTTAACAAGGCACGTATTTACAGACTTGCCTCAACACGAAGCCCCTATATTGGTCACTTGCCTTAGCGCGGCCCGTATATTAGACATTTTCCTTAACCAGGCCCCTATATTAGACACTTGCCTTAACGAGGTCCCTATATTAGACACTTGCCTTAACGATACCCCTATATTAGACACTTGCCTTAACGAGGTCCCTATATTAGACACTTGCCTTAACGAGGTCCCTATATTAGACAATTGCCTTAACGATACCCCTATATTAGACACTTGCCTTAACGAGGTCCCTATATTAGACACGTGCCTTAACGAGGTCCCTATATTAGACACTTGCCTTAACGATACCCCTATATTAGACACTTGCCTTAGCGAGGCCCCTATATTAGACACTTGCCTTAACGAGGTCCCTATATTAGACACTTGCCTTAACGAGGCCCCTATATTAGACACTTGCCATAGCGCGGCTCATATATTAGACATTTGCCTTAACGAGTTCCCTATATTAGAGACTTGCCTTAACGAGGCACGTATTTAAGACGCTTGCCACAAGAAAGCATATATTTTTGACGCCGCAATTAGGCAAATCTCTGTTTTCCAACATTTAAACCCTAAATTGTATATCTTTCTTTAAAAAAGTTTAAACTCGTTTTTTAATATAGCAGTATCGTGTCTTATCGAGGCAAATTATAATTTCTCCAGTCTTTGT